CGCAGAGGAATTTGATTTGTTGGCTTGCCTTGGTGTTAGAAGTCTGTTGTTTTCTTAAGAAGCCCACATAAGTGAGGCTTCTACTTGTGCTCAGAGACAGGAATTTTCTGAACAACAAGAAAAAGGTACAGGGTTAGAAGGGAGCCAGATGAAACCTGTTTTCCCACTTACTGCTCACTCCGTGACCCACCGGGTAGACACTCACATTCCAGTGACACGGGTCATGAAGAGTCACCGACACACAGAGCACTGCCCTGGGCTGACTGGCCTTCACGGTCAGCAAATCGTGTCCTCTAATGACACTCCATGGAAAGCACTGTGACTTTTTATGGGCTTGTACCTCCTGCCTTTTGACAGAAAATGGCCTCTCTTGGCACCTGCTGCAACTATTTAGTCTTTTTGGATCTATGGTGCCGGTGCCAAGAACATTACAGGAGAAGGAACAAATGACATGGAGACCCACGGAGATCAGCTGGGATCAGGAAAGGTCCCAAGGGAACAAGCCAGGGAGGTGCTATTCCTCGTATTTTAATTTTTTGGGGGAAAATAAATGATAGATTAAAAGATTTAAGGTTGTGGACTCCTACAAGGAATTAGGTACTGGTTTCTGAAGGGTTTTTGGTATTTTTCATTCAGCATTCCCTTTATTCTGTCCACAGACTGAGAATAGCAGGGCCGTGTGTTTTAGCAAAAGCAGGGGTCATCCTGTTAGTTCTTGGACCTAAGGCCCCGAACTGCAGATGGTGGACATCCAGATGCCTCCCTGTGGTGCCTCCTTGGGGAAATCACACGGCTCTTTTGTTAGAGACCTAAGAAACATCCAGCTTAATGGTTTGAGAAGATCTATCTGTTTTCACTTCTAAATAAGGGTGTCAGCAATCTGGGTCGTTTTTTAAAATACGACTTTCTTTATTCTCCCCCTTCTTAATAGTGCATTCCAGCTGATTTAAGACCTGAGTCTCATCACTCCAGGCCTCGTCCTACTTCAGAGCCACCCAGCACTGTGTGCTCTCTACCCAGCCTGCCCCCCAAAAGTAGGTGGCCCAGAATAAGGAGAAGAAAGAAAAAAAGGGAGCACTTTCCCCTCACACTGGAGCACCAGAGACGCCTTCTGGGCGGCCAAGTGTTGCTCATCCAGGGAGCGGTGGGCTTCTTAGGACCACCTTGGAAGCTCCTCCATCTCTCTACTGTCCCCCTCTCAGCCCTCACCTGCTAGTCCCCACCTTGAACCTCTAAAGTAACTAGCCCACAGCCCAAGAAGGCACGTCGGACTCCAGGGAAGGTGGAGAGCATGGGTTTCCTCCTTACAGCCCTGGCCGTCTGTGGGATGACAAACTTCAGGTCCAGAGTTCCATCTACAGGAGGTCCATAATGTCACTGCAGCCTGGTGTGTGACACATAGGAAAGGATGCCCATAGTAATCAAGGGCCCAAGACAATCTCCAAGCCTTGTGGGTTTGTGTGGCCTGGGGGCTGTTTTTGGTGAAGTAAAATGTTCACCAAGTTTAGGGGGGGTACGAGGCACCAGTGAGGAGAGATTTCATTCTGGGGAGGCTGGGGGATTGCCAACCAGTCCTCCCTCCCACTCACCATCTGCCCAGGCTCTGGAGGCAGCTCTGGGAGGGTGAACTGTGGTGAGCACACCATCTCCTCCTGGGACTGCCTGCTCCCGCCTGTCCTGTGCCAGCAGGTGGGGGACAGGGGGCGTGTGATCCAGGGATAGGCCAAGAGAACCTGCTCAAAACAGACCTCTGCCACCATGGACTCCGTGGCTCACACGAAGAGAAAGCTTTCCTTTGGAGTTCGGATGAAATAAGTCCATCGATCATTAGAGCAAGTCAGTAACGTGGGGCGCAGGCATGGGCCTCAGGGGCTCAGTGCCTCTTGAGATTATGTGCAGAATGCTGCATGGATGGGCCCATTTTTTGGTGACAGTTCCTAGTTTTCATCAGTGTTTCCTGACCTCCTACTTTCCCCCAAATTAAAGAAGCACTAATTTAGAGGAAAGGCAAGAACTGCTTTGACCTTTCTTAGCAGGATAGAACAAACTGAGAAAGGAAAAGCCACAAGGACACTCCTGACTTGAGAAGTCCTTCTTTGGCAGATGCCTGGGATCCCATCTCGGGCCATCTTCAAATCTGCAGCAGAGGGTTCAACACAGAACCCACACCTTACATGCTGTGGTCACTCAGTGACTTGGTGAACAAACATGGATTTGAATGTGACTGCTACTGAGAGTAGGCAAAGGGTCTGCTCACTGTGCCATATTAGAGAGACGTGCATACTCCAGTATTGCAAGACCACCGTGGCGGCGTCTCGTAGCTCCCACACCTTTCTCTCCCTAGTCTCACTTCACCCATCCTGCCTCAGCTTGTGTTATGTGATGTTGTTTTTCTTCTGCTCAGGTCTGGTTTCCTTTGCATTCTTGGTTCAGACATGCCTTCTGGCCAAAGGAAGGCTCCCAGGCTCCCTGTGATGGGACAGAGTCCCCCCTACACACACACACACATCCAGCCCCACCAAAGACCTTCTGCCCTGCTTCTCCCAACAGCTGCTGTTTTGCTGGATATTTTAGTAGTGCAGCCACTGAGAAAATCCTCCATCCCACAGCCAGGAAGGCTTTACAGCTGCATGCTCTATTTTTAACAATGGCCAAGTTCCTAGGAAACCCCCATTCCCGTCAGAGGATCACATGGACTCCGGGCTTCCTTCCTGCTCCTTCACTCCACTTGCCTTTAGTGACTCCCCAGTACGAAGTTCACACAGCCCTGCCTGGTCTGGCTCTCGCCTGCTCAGCCTCATCCAGCCAGTCTTCCCTACTTCCTCCTACAATTGGCATTTACCACCCCTATCTTTGTAATTGCTTTTTACTTAAGTTTCCCTGCTAAGAAGGCTTCCTATTTACAGCACACCACCTAGCACATCTTAAATTCATGTATTCACTCCACAAACATTTACTGAGTATCTACCATATGCAAGGCACCACTGTTCCAGCACATGGGATTCACCAGTGCACAAAGCTTGTGGAGTTTACAATCTAGCATGGAAGACAACAAATAATAACTGTCATAAATAAATAAATTGCACAGTTGTAAAGTGATAAGTCCTATGGAAACAACAGAGCAGGGTAGGTGGGAATGGGAATGCTCAATAAATTGGTTAAATTGAATTTAATTGTGACATGGTTATGTGGACATAGGTTGGGAACTCTTCTCTTCCTCGTTAATTCAGTTCAAACCAATGATCCACAGATACAATTTTTGCATTATATGCTGTGACTATATTTGGTGAATTTCTCCATGCAAAAAAAATAAGAAGTATTAATGGATTCATAAGGAACATATTGGGATGTAATACTTCAAACCTATGAGACTAGGTAGATCTCTCAATACTTCTCAATCTTCTTTATTCACAGCACATGGAGTACATAATATTTACCAGCATACTTCAGTTCCTGGATAGGTTTTGAGAGTCTAAGAAGCCCTGAGGGATGAGAGACTTAATATCCCACCACTCACTAAGGCACGTGGAGTGGAAATAGCAGCATTGGTTACCAAACTTAAGCATACCTTAGAACCACTTGGGCTGATAACAGTGTAGATTTATGAGCCATACTGAGCTCTTGGGACTGGGAACAGGACCAGGAACCTGCTTTGTCAGTTTTCCCAAATGATGCTGGTGCTGGTGGTCTTGGGACCACACTTTGAGCAATGCTGCTGCTGTACAACATAATGGAGATATGGGGAAAATCACAATTTCTATTATGCTGTTATAGATGAGGTTGGGAACTATGGAGAGAATGGTAGGTCAGTGGTCTCAAACTTCATTAGCATGCATCAGAATTACCTAGGGGCTTGTAAAAACATGGGTTTGGGGGCCCAATCTCAGTTTCAGAGTGGGGACCAAACAAGGTCCCCATGATGCAGGATGCTGCTATTATTTAGGATCTTGCTTTAAGATGACTTCCACTGATGGAAGTCATTCAGGAAGCTTGGATCTTAGGAATTTGGGGTTTATAAACTAATTTCACATAGAAAATGTTGGGTTCGTGTTTAGGACAGTAGGATTAGAGTGTACTGTTTAGTACACTCATAAAGCATCAGAAGAAGTAGGTTTGAGGAACAATCAAAATGAATTTCTTCTTTGATAAAAACATTGCTCTGTGATCTCTCTTCATGTCCACCCTCCAGCTTCAAGAGACAGGAAGTTGAGGCAGCTGTCCATTTCTGTGGTGTAAATACTTCCACCATGGTCATGGTCAAGCTGCCAAGGTGAAGTCACTGAACACAGAGCTGGGAAGAGATACACACTGAATTCTCCACAGCCATAGGAGTTAGCTCTGGCATACCCCTGGCTACACACACCACCTCTATCTCGGCTGTGGTGACAGGTACAGGGACCCTGCTCTGAATGCTTACACCAAACTGGCTGCCTTTCCTGGCCCGTGGCCTGTACAGCTTATGGAGCACTGAGGTTCAGCTTTAGATTCTGGGCATAGCCCAGGGTCCAGGTGGCAAGACTTTAAGAAGATCTCTTTCCTCACACATGCTGGAAGGCTTCGGTTCTCCAGCTTTGTCAGTGACATGCTTCACACTCCAAGGTCAGGATGCCTCAAGGTACAACAGAAGATTGGATGGCCACATAAACCCAACTGAGCTAAATCTATCCCACAGCTTAGAAATTATATTTTGAGGTGACCTACCTTGTTAGGCAAGTGAATTGAAAACATTGGAGAAATCTTTCTTTTCCAGAAAATAAGACAACAGAGATTGGAAGGCAAGATTCCTCTTAAGAGAGAGAGCCTGCAAAGTCCCTTCACAGTTCAGATCAGGGTCATGGGCAGGTATTCTGAACAGAGATGAAGCCAAGGGTAATGATGGATCCTGATCCAGAAGTTCGGCCCCATTGTCTCCTCCAGATATGTTCCCACACCTTTCTACCTGCCTCTTTGCTTTAACTCAGTTCTGCTTTCTTTTTCCTAACTTTACTTCATCTTTCCAGATGCAGGACGCTATGGGCTATGAGTTACCCTGGGTGTATTTTGTCAGTCTGGTCATCTTTGGATCCTTTTTCGTTCTAAATCTGGTTCTCGGTGTGTTGAGCGGGTAAGCTGACCATTTTTATGTCCTCTTTACAAGGCAGCCGAGCAAGGTCCCAGGTTCCACTATGACCATTGCCAGGATCCTCAGGAATAGGACCTTAACAGGCCCAGGAAAACCAGAAAAAAAAAGTCTCCATTCAACCACAAATTCTGATCCGTTGGCCAGGCAGGCTGTTTGGCCTCTGAGTTGCACCTAGAGGATCCTCGGGTCCCTGCGCTGCTTGGGTCAGCGTCTGGGGAGCTGGTGGCTGGCACTTGGCCATGCTCGGTTGCTATGTGTGCCTCACTAACTATCATTCCATTCTTCCAGGTCAATGATGCCGTAGGAAGGGACTGGCCCTGGATCTATTTTGTTACACTAATCATCATAGGGTCATTTTTTGTACTTAACTTGGTTCTCGGTGTTCTTAGCGGGTAAGCAGGACCAAGGAAAAAGGTCTTGATTTTTCCATTTATTTTTATTCATTCTTTCCGCTATTCTTGGCTCTTTCCTTTTCTGGCTCTGATGAACTTGGGATAAGGGGTTACCTTGGGAGCCTTGAAGTGAATGTCCTTGGCCTGGCTGGGTAAAGGGTCAAATGCACAAGAAGGAGTCCATTGGTTTGAGTGATAGATGATGGAGAAGAGATGCCTAGTCCTGCCTCTCTCCTCATCAAATCCCCTTCCAACCCCAAGAAGCTGTTAAGAGAGGCAGGATGCTTCTCCTTGTATGTCAGTAACCTCAGCCTCCAGAGCAGCATGAGGAGACCCTTGAGTAGAAAGGGCTTCCAGCAGGAATTTGAGGGAGGATTCATACAGGAAGTGCTTTCAACATACATAGCAGTCTTGCAGATAAGTACTCGCCTTATCTCTTGGGTCAGTTACTATTTGCAGGCTAATATTGGGAATTTCAGATCACTTTTACTCAGTGGTAAACAGACCAGGGAAACAATAGTTTGATTTAATATATAAGTAGGGCTGACAGTGTAGCTCAGTGGTAGAGCACTTGCCTAGCATGCAAGTTTTATTTGATCCACATACACATATATCCATACAAACACACACACACGGTAAACAAACACAGATCAAAAATCTAATTATCTTCAGTTTTAATTCATAGACTGTTCAATGTTTTCCCTTTCTGAATGGAAAGGACACTTAATTAGTTAAAGTCATAGGTTATTTGACAGTAGAGGAGATGGAATTTACTTTCCTTCAAATTTACCTAGTTGGCTACAATATAAAATCTACCTGATCTCAGCCCTTGCTCATATAAAGCTAAAAGTGACAGGTTGAGTGTTGTCGCACATGCCTATAGCCCCAGCAACTCAGGAGGCTGAGGCAGGAGGATCACAAGTTTGAGGCCAGTCTGGACAACTTAGACCCTGTCTCAAAATTTTTAAAAAAAGGGGGGGGCTGGGGATGTAGCTTAGTGGTCAAGCACCCCTGGGTTTAATCTTTAGTAACCCCCTCTGGAAAAAAAAAAAAGTAAAAGTGACAGAGGCAGCACATGGTTTGGGAGGGGGCATCACATGGCCCTGAGGACAGCCATGTTTTCAGTGGGAGGCTCGGAGTGTTTCGTCAGCTCACTTTCTTCTTCACCAGTCCATACCAGCCATGCCAAGGCCTGCCACCTAAATGCTCCTGGTGACCACTCATGGGCAACCTACTCTGCCGCCTTTGCTCTTTGGGGGGTGGGATTAATCTCTTCCTGCTCTGCTTGAACAAGCCAGCTGCTTTAATAGTCTTCCCTGGAGGTACAGGGACAAGAACATGGGGGCTGGTGAGAGTTCAGGCTCGAGGGGAGAGGTTCTGTCCATTCTCAGTCCAGAAGTAGGGCAGAGCTGTCCCCACCTAGAGCAGTTGAATAGGATGCAGGGACATGGGGTTCATTCTTGGGAACTGGGTGAAGGAAAGGATCTCACCCCACCCATTTCCATGGCAGATGGCCTGTCGGGGCCTTGATGGCATTGTACCTTTTGCTAAGGGCAGGAGAAGTGTTTTCCAACAGGGTGAGAAACAATGAACAGGGCAGGGGTGCAGCTCAGCGGTAGAGCACTTGCCTAGCATGTGTGAGGCCCTGGGTTCCATCCCCATCACCACACACACACACAGCACACACAGACAAAAAAATAAAAGTGATGAGTAGAATAATGGAATCCCCTGATTAGTTAGTTGCCTGGAGGGTAAAAAGGTTTTTATTTTTATTTATTTATTTATTTTTTGTTCCAACACAAGAAAATGCCCTGGATTTATATGTGAATGTCTAGGGAAATAATTGAAAACAAACAAAAAAACCCTCATTATCCCCATTCAGGACAGAAATGTGGGTACCCAGCTCTGCACCTAATGGATGCATAATGTTGAGCAACTTCACTTTTTTAAAACTCAGTTTTCCCATCTGAAAAAAAAAATGAAGATAATAACAACCTGTTCATAAGCAGTCGTGATGATGACATGAAATCCTTCGTGTCAGATGCAGCAGAGTGACTGCTGTAGAGTAAGTACTCAGTAACGGTGGTGTCACGGTGATGAGTATTGTCTACCTGGTACCTGTCATAACTGGAATTACTGGACAGAATCATCACAGTTCCGACAACTTTGAGCTTTTATTTTTAAAGGTGAGAATGTGAGCCCAGAGATGTTAAGTGGCTTGGACAATGTCCCTTCACTGGTAAATGGCAGGATGGGACCAGCACTCAGGCAGGGCCTGACCGCCATCTTCACTGGTGAATCTCTAGGTGTCCATTGAGGGACTCTGGACCATAATGCAGGCCAAAGCTCTAACCCTGTAAGAGAATGGAGTTCCCCTTTCTTCTCTTGGAGATGAGGAACTGAACCCAGCAGGTAAAATTCCTCCAGGCATCTGAAGTGGAGAATGAGCCCCTCCTGCAGGAGACTATCTGTCACAGGAATGATTTTCCGCACGTTGTCAAATCAGGGAAATCAAATGACGGCAGCTGCTGATGACAGAGAAAAGGTCATTCTGAAGCCATGTCTGTTCTCCCTCAGTCCGAGTGAGAAAAGGTGTGTAAAAACATCTCGCCTGAAACCTGGTGCTTAGTGATACTCACAGAGAACAAGAACACGAAAGCTCTTTGACTTTGGAAACTGTGAGTCTTTGAGTTCAGACATTGGTCTTTTCCCAGCACCTGCCACCTGGCCACTCCCAGAGCTGCAGTCTACTCCTGGCAGCTATAGAATCACAGATTGGCCCTTTGCCCAGGCAGAGAGCTGTCTGAAGGAGAACACCTCCCCTTTCTGGTTCAGGGAGGCCTCTCCTAAGATGTTAAGGGCTGGCCACTCTGGTGGGCTCCCCCAGCCCACGCAGTGACAAAAACTAGAAGCAGGCTTCTGTTGGCTGACCACAAAGTAGTGATGTCTGGGGTCAAGCATCTTGATTACCCAGGATGATATAATAGTAACCACAATATTGTGGCAAAACACCAACTTATTCGTCACTTATAAACTTCTGATTATAAACCAAACCTTTCATAAGCACTCAAAAAAGTCTCAGAGCCATGCAACATTCACTAGGACAGCATGGGCAGTTGCCACCATTCTGCATCAGGCTCTACATTTGGTGCTTCTGGTGCATTAGCTCACTTACTGCTCCCAACAACTCTGTGAGTTAGGTGCTATTCATATTTCCATTCTACAAAGAAGAAGAGTGAGGTTTCAAAGAGGAAACTCAATAGGTGAAAAATAGAGGATCCAGGACTGAGCCCAAGCAATGTGCATTCATAGCCTCTATCTCTAACCTGTGGTATATGTTCCCCAAGCCCATTTGACCCATGAGTCCAATGTTTGTAAACTACATTCAGGTCACGGGAAGATGAAGAGCAGAAGCCATGGTTAGAAGGGCAAACAGAAAGGCAGGCAGCAGAATCAATCTACAGTCTGGGTCCTGGACACAACCAGGGAAGCAGAAATAGTCCCAGGAAGAAGCTACAGAGACCACCTAGAAGGCAGGGGTGCTAAGCATGGGGGCTGCATCCCTGCAAATGGGACTTGACAGAGCAGGGATCCCAACTCAATAGTACTGCAGTCTTCTGGACTGGGGACAGAGGGTATGGAACCCTACATCTACCAATTAAGGAAGATACTATTTTACAGCTCAGCACAGTAATCATCCTGAAAAATTATATCCTTCATCCGGCCAAGAAAGATTAAATTGTGCTCAGTATGTTCTGCTCATGAAGAGAGAGAATGGCATTCTTAAAGTTTCCATTAGAAAGGAAGAAATTTAAATATTTTGATCATTTAGGGTTGGATATTCTTTATCTGGAACATTCTCTCCAGAACACTTTATTTATGATGAGGCTAGATAGAGTCAAGTCTGAAGAATATACATCTCTTGGAATATTTTTCAAAATGCTTCTTTCATGTTATTATCTACTGACCTTTACATAAACCCAATGCAAGTCATAAAACTGGCAATATATCCCAATCGGATTATAATTATTTTCCCCTCCAAAAATCTCAATCTCTAGCTTGTTAGAATTAAGATGACAACAGTGACAATGAGATTCTTGAAACCGCACTTGAAGCTATAACCAGATGCAAGTCTGCACTCTGAAATCAGTTACCTTTTGCTTTAAGTGATGGCAAACAGGCCTTCAGATACGTACTTTTAGTTTGCAAAAGGCCCAGGATCTCTTACATGCATAATCATCCCATCATTTTACTCACTTGAAATGGACACATCTCTTGCCCAGAAAAGCAGAGGACCTGAGGGGTAGGCATTTTACAAACTGGAAGTATAACTGGACCATGGCACCAGTCAATACAAAATATCCAGGCCAAGAAGAAAACAATTAAAGGCCAGACACACATGCCCTGAGGTGGGGACATAAGAGCTGGCCACACATACATTCAATTCTCATTATTCGCAGTAGTTGTGTTCTATGATGTAGCCATGAACACTGAATTAGTGAATGCTGAACCATCAATCTTAGGGGAAATACAGGGTCAGAGTCCTGTGAGCCTCTGGTCACAGCATTTTGTCCACTACTCAATATACCCACCCTTGTCCATCTTGTGTAAAGATACCTTATTTAGTATCAATCATTGACTCATTAACATTGAACCCCCAGCCAACAACCCTTCAACTCATGCCTGAATGAAGCTTACCTAACACACATATTTCTCCATCAGGCACATCACAGCCTTCTTGCACTTAGGAACACTAAACAGCTCTTCATAACTATGCTTGGGCCATTTTAAACAGCAAAACCCACCGACAAAAAGCACAAAAATGCGACAAAACAAGACAAAATCCATGGCACTAAATAGACTATAAAAAGGACATTCATTTACATTACGAGAAATGGATCAAGACAAAAAAGCAGAGCATACCTTGTTTGGCCTCAGCTGGGAACACATGGAGTGAACATATGAAGTTGTCATTCTGGGCATGTTCATAAATGACCATGAACGTGCCCTGAGTATTGATTTGGGGGTTTACAAATAAATTTACTGAATAGGAGAATTCGTAAATATGAGACCCACAAATAATGATGATCGACCGTATTGATTATCCACGGGCCTAGAGCCCCAGTGGTCGGTATTGATTGGATTTTCCACAGTTATTTTCTGCCACGTGCTTTACCTGACTGAGCACCGGCACCCTGGCCCTCCACTCCACCCCTCATTTTTCATATTGGCCATTTCTGGCAAGAAATGCACTCCTGCCTTATGACAAATCCCACAGTGGTGACTGATTGTCTCGTCGGCTCCAGTCCCTGGACCCAGTGCAGCCCGTCAGGCTGGGGCTTCATGTCTTCATTAGCTCAGTCCCCAGAGCAGGCGCATGGCTGGCATCCAGGCAAAGAGATAAAGAGAGCCATGCACTGCCACCCAGCATGTTCCTTACCACAGGGGCCTGGCGAGGGAAACCTGGCTCACCTTCCACCCTGCCAAAGCCTGGCTATGCCCACACTCCGTGGGATCCAACAGGAGCCTCATTCTGTTCCATGTCTCCAGGCCCCATCCAGCTACCTCCAGCCCCCAAATGCATCCTTCTTCTCTAAGAGAAAATGTCTTCAGATCAGTAAGAACCACACAGATCTTGCTTTTCTCTTCTCCCTGCAGATGTTTATTTTAGTTCCCCAGAAGTTTGAGGTCTAAATGATGAGCTTTCACTCCATGGGGCAAATGCTGCAAAACTGGGTCATTTATCCTTACTCCAGTTGGATCCAGGTCCTATTCTCCTAACTCCAAAAGAAGGATAATAGATGTTTGGCAACCAAACCTTGAACTCTTTGCAAAATCATCCAAAATAGCTCAAGTGAGCCCTTAACAATTCAGTCCCTGAAGACCTCAAACCCACTCCAGGGGAAAGGAGCAGAGAATGGAAATAGGGAGAGGCAACCTTGAAGTACAGATTTTTGTAGTTCATCTACACAGGAAGGAAAATACATTCTGAAGTTTCTCTCTCCAGAGAGCAAGACCAAGGCCACAAGAGGCTCAGAGAGGTGTGGAGGAAGGAGCTGTTGCCCACCCCCAATGGCAAAAGCAGGATAGGCGCAAAGCAAGGGAAAGCCCCCATCTTTATTGTGAGCTGTAGATCTGGTCCCTTGTCCCTGGCATGAATTCCCTGGGAAGGAAATGAAGGTACCCTTTAGTTGGCAGAAAGCCCAAGAAATAAGCAAGTGCAATTCAATTAGAATTGGATTCAATCAAATTTAAGAAGAAAATTCAATCCAAACCAGAGCGTCATTGAGGCAGCAGTTGACCAAAGCTCATTAGTTTGAGAGGCCCCACAATCTCCCAATTAAATACTTCCCCAGACCCCTCCCAGCCCCTTCTCCATTTTACCATAAAAATGGGGAGAACTAAAATTTGTGCTCTCCAAGGCAAATTCAAACACTGGAAAGTTAGTGGTGATAGAATAGCTCCTACATGACAAATTAGGAGCTAAGTTTTTTGCGCCTCTAAGGTTTGTTGGTGCCATCCTTCCTTCCAAAGTGCCTTTCCTGTAGAGTGTTTGACGTGTGCAAGAAACTCCATTGCACTGGTTTCAGCAGCCTCTTGCCTTGAATCAGATCTTTGCTGATGAAAGAAGGAAGAAAGTGTCCTGCCTCCCAGAGATCAACCAAGAAAGGGCATGCACGCATACGCACGCATACACACGCGCACACGCACACTTCACAAAGGGCCCTATATCCCCCAAACAACTTATTAATATAAAATGAAATCCTCCATTTACCAATTTTGAAAGGAAAGGCACCAACTTGCTTTGAGATTTGAGAACTAGCCCAGTTCTGCTGCCAGGCCCATCTTTGCTCAGAAAGTAAGGAGAAAACAAGGACCAAATCATGTAAAAAAAAAAAAAAATCCAGTGTGTGAGAACTTTTCCAAATAGACCTTTTTCAGCAACTCCCAATCTAATTCTAATTGCTACACACTATTAAACTGATCAAATGTATCATTTAACTTTGATTATCAACTGGATTTTGTGTATTTTTTTTATTCCCATTTTTTGCTTTGTTTTGTTTTTGTTTAACCAAAAGGGCAGCCCCCAGGACATTTTCTTGTGTCTGGAATCCATGTTGGCTCCAGATGGGAACGAACCTTTCCTAAATTAGAAATCCTTCCAGGCATCCGACAGTGGCAGGGTGAACTCTAGCAGTGAGAACAGAGATGGAGGCAATTATATCTGTGATCCATGTCAGTAAAGTACTGGTAAATAGTTAACAATTGGCTCTCTGGGGAGAAAGCCCTGGTCTTTAGCATCTGCCAAATTCCATGGTGTAAATATTCCCAACATGGGTGATTCTCAAGCTACCAAAAAAAAACATCACTGAAGCCAGAGATGGGAAGAAACATACACAATTGGCTCTCAGGACCCAGTGTGGGTAAGTGGGCTCTGGCACCTCACTGGTTCAAGTACCTTGAATCCCCTAAAGACCCTTCTCAGATATACTATTTTTTAATTTGCCACCTAATACTGGGTCGATGAATACTGAAAATGCATATTCGATAACCATCGAAGAGTTTTTAGTTACTGTTTGGGAGGGGTTTTCAGGTCTTTGGAGACCAATTGTTATAAAAGAGCCAAGTGATCATGTTGTAGGGAAATGGACTTCACCCGTTCCTTTAGACTCAGGCATGTCAGTGTCTCTTCTCTTTATGAAGTAGAGAAGGCTGTCTGTGGAAAGCAGGGGCACGCGGGCAGGGTTCTTAGAGCGACGCCACCTCTCCTTCCATGCCTGACCCTTCTCTGTGCTCTCCGCCCTGCCCACCCTCCTTCTTTCACCAGAGAGTTTTCCAAAGAGAGGGAGAAGGCCAAGGCTCGGGGAGACTTCCAGAAGCTAAGAGAGAAACAGCAGCTGGAAGAAGACCTCAAAGGCTACCTGGACTGGATCACCCAGGCGGAAGACATCGACCCTGAGAACGAGGACGAAGGCATGGATGAGGAGAAGCCCCGAAACAGTGAGCAACCGTCTTCTGTCCTTGGGCTAAGTTGTAGTGAGAAAGAGGAGAAAGCAGCAGGTCAACCAAAATATGTTGACCACAAACCTTTCTTTACAGCCCCTACTTGGTCTTCCTGGAGCAACATTTGTCTCATTGATTGCAATCATTTGCTGCTCATAGGAATTAGCCACAGATGGGAAATAATTGCCATTGGTCTATAAAACCTCATATTTCTTTTAGAATCTTTGATCTGATCAAACGGTTAGGGTTTGCTAAGGCAATTCTCAATTCTCTTTAAAAAGTCTTTTTTTTTTTTTTACCTCCCCCTGACTCCATCTCTTTAGGCAGGGGAGCAGGCTTTCTGCTCTTGGTTTGTTCAGAAAGAACAATTTCCCCCAAGCAGCTCCCTGGTAAGCTTTATACCTGCATAGTATTCTCTCCAAACTTGCCATAGACTTCCAAGCACCATTGAGCTTTCTCATAGGAAAAGGAGTCAAAAGTTTCTTTTAAGTAGGTTAGATTCAAGGAGCTGGGGAAGTGCTAAATGGAAAGATTGGAGGAATCCCAGAGGAATGTGACAGAATACAATTAGATTACAGAAATGGAGCCAAATCCCTTCCTTCGGGGTTTCACATGGCAGGTTGTTGGATAGGCTATAGCTAGGATAGAAATGAAAGTGTTAGATGTATTAACTTGCAAGTAGATTCATGATGATGAATCATGGAAATTCAGCCCCTTATCAAAGTAGCCCAGTGGTTCTCAAAGTGTGGTCCCTGGACCAAGCAGCAGCAGCAGCACTTAGGAACTTATGGAAATTGCAGGGTGGAAGCCCAGTAGCTATCTGCTGGTTAACACCTCCTCCAGGTGATTGCGATGGGCAGTAAGTCTGAGAACCATTGGGTTAGCTCTAAGGGTTCTATGTATCTCCTTTGACCTTGAACTTAGTGACTCTAACTAACATTCTTTCCTATTCTTTGTGTGTGCAGTTTCTTTTGTTTTACATGTTTAAACAGGTACATTTCTCTACTCTACAGCAACTCAAACAGTTCCTAAACACAGGGCATTTAGAATAGTCAAGGAACCAAGCAGAGTAAAAAGGTAACCAGGATATTTGATGGACCCATGCAAGTAAGGGTAGGAAGCCAGAAATTTGTCTTTAGCTGGGAGAGAGATGAGGAGAGCCAGCAGAAGGAAAAGGAAGAGAAAGAGGATTGCCAGGGATGTTAACAGAACAGAATCTCTGCTCCCTCATTTCAAAGATTGATTTAATAAATCTATCAACTACTCCCCTTCTGATAACTCTGCTCAAGGTACAAATACAAAATTAAAACACATAAATAACAAGGGACTGGTAACAACATAATTTAATAACTTAAGGAAGCCTTCATGCTCGACTAAGTAGTTTTGCAAGTTGGAAGATGGGGCCTTTGATGGATTATAACAATGAGCAACGATGCCACTGAGGGTCTTTCTGGAAAAATGCCTGACAGCTTCTATTACATTGTTGATGGAACTGCAGGGAAGTTGATTAGTTTGTGGCACTGAGTGGTATGGTAAATAAATAAATCGGCCTGTGGGCCACAGAGAGGCTTACCTCTCCAACACAGGAATTGCTTTTTCAGCTCCTCACTTTACTCACACTCAAAGTGGAACCCCTAGCTTGTGATTATTTTTCTTAACAGTTGTTATTAAAAACACATAATACCCATGACTTGCTTAGCAGCCAGTTGCCATCCACAGAGACATAGTTATTCTGTTCTCTGCCTAAAGCCAGAACTTCCACAGGGATGTGTGCTGCTTCTCCATTTTGCCCACTAGAAGAACAAATTCCAAGGAGGGCTTCTAGCATTCAGTATTCCTTGCTGCAGCAACAGATCATACCTACGAGGTCCATCTACCCAGATTTCTGGCCCGGCTCTGAGAACAGCATAAGGAACAATTTACCCCAATAGGCAGAGTCTCTGCCAAGATTTTCGTAAGCCCAGATATGGATAGATCAGACTTTGGAGGCTGTTTTTCCTCTCCCATGTTTCCTTATGGCTGGAGGACCTTTCGGGTCTGCTTCTTGTCCTCGACCAGCCTTGTCTTTGGAGGACTGGAATGGGAGCCTGGCTCCTTCATGAGTGGAAATGCTGGTGGGACAGTTTTGGGGGAGGGACAAGGGAATGAAGTTCCAAACAAGCAAGGTATGGAAAGTAGACATGATGAAATGGAACGTGAGACTTAGGGATAAATCCAGAAAAAGAGTCCAAATGATGGTGTCTACTGGGGAAGTCCAATTAAAAGTAGAGTCAATGTGATTTCATTATTAAGGAATCAGAAACCTAAGAGATTTACAGACAAGGCAAGAATATGGCTTGGAAATGATATTCTTAGCCTCAGAACTTCATATTCTGCCCTTTGAAATAAATAGAAGAGGAGAAATTCTGCTACAAACTAGATATATGTTTTAATTAGTGTCGTATCTTAGCTTTGGAATTGCTGAAAGATTACAGGATGGTATATTTGTCAGTTCTTTTCAGCTCAAAAATGAAGTAGTCTTAAGACAAAAAGGTATCATCACCTCATTGTGGCTCTGGTGACTGCTTTTGGCCCCATAGTGTCCCTGTCCGCATGTACCAGATGTCTCTGACATAAGGCACTGGGAAGCGGAGCTGGCTACAGTGGAGGGACAACCCAATGACACATCACTGCATGGTGGCTGAGCACACCTACACATAGCCCAAGTATTCAGCTTTCCTAGGAAAAGCTAAAGGAACTAATAAGGAAGTAGAAGAAACAGGAGTTGGAAGATAATAGAGAAAAAGCATAAAAGTTTGGAGGCATTTCTCTAAATGAGTAAAAGAAGGGGCCAATAACTATGTATAATTTCCAGTTCTTCCATCCACCTACCCATGAAAGGTCTGCTCTTTGCCAGACACTGCTCTAGGCACTTGTGATATAGCAATAAAACACAGCAGTCAAAAATCCCTGCCCTGCCCTGAGGAGACAGACAATACATCAAATAGATGTCAGAGAGCGAGGAGTACCATGGAGCGCGATGGAAGTGTGGATGGGCCTAGCGGTGTCAAGAGGTTATGTAATGTTAGATGGGAGCAATCAGGGAAGGTCTCACTGAGAAGGTGGCATTTGAGTAAAATTTGAAGGCAGTAAGGAAAGGAACCACACAGATATTTGCAAAAATAATGTTCCAGGCAGAGGGAAGGCTAATGAGAAGACCTTGAGGCAGAAGCATGGATGGGGCATCCGAGAACAGAGAGAGGCTAATGAGGCTGAAAAGGAGGCAAAGAGGCAGAGTGACGGGCGACAAGGTCCAGGGGAACCCAGGAGGATTTGGTGTAACTTGTGAGAGCATGGATCTTAGCTAGAAGAAAGCCAAGTAGCCTTTGGAGGTTTTGAGCAGAAAAGTCACATGATCTGAGGTGCATTTGACAGGGACCCCTGGCTGCCACGTGCTGAAGTGTTGAGTGGAATGGAGGTAGCAAGGGCGGGTCTGGTCAGGAGGCTGCCACCTTGGAAGATGATGGTGCCTTGTCTCAGCCAACGTGGAGATAATAAGATCAGGATTCAGGGTGGCATCATGCACTGAGATATTGGGTTTGGAATGTGAGAAAGAGAGAAATCAGGCATTTTCCAAGGTGATGTAAGAATGGAATTGTTGCTTGGCATAGGGAAAATATGAGTAGAGTAGGGGTCAGTATAGGAATAGGGGGAAAGGCATCTCGGACCTCTAAGTTTAAATGCCTATGAGACTTCCAAGTGGAGATGTTGAGTGGGTGATTGGGAATAAACCTGTGTCGTTGGTTAACATCTGGGACTGGATTATACTTTGGGGGCATTAACAACACACACAAGATGTTTAAACCCGTTAAGTCTGCATGAGATCATCAGGGAGTAAATGAGATGAGGTCTAAGAACCGACAGCAGGGCCCCACCAATGTTTGGGATTTGGGGTCATGGGCAAGAATCAGCAAGAAAGAGTCCAGAGAGGTAAGAAGGAAAACAGAGGAAGGAGTGTCAATGCTGCCAAGAGATCAAGCAGGATGAGGACTAGAAACTGTTTAACTTAGCCATGTGGGGATCCATAGGCCCTTGATGAGAGCTGGTTAATGGACTGTTCGGGCGAAAGCTTCATGGCAAGTCAGTGTCTCACGTCACAAGTCTCTTGATTTGCATCTTCCTAGGATGGCATTGAGCATTGCTCTGCAGCCTTCCTGTTCGGTTGGCATGGCCTTGCTGCCTGCCATCTGAGGAGTCAGCCCCTCCGGAGAAAGAAGGGAAGAAAGTGAAACAAATATGATCAATCCAGCCTGCCAGTGCCCTGGGAAGGCAGTGGCTGGAGCTCAGCCCTTCAATGTGTCCCTATCTACAACTGTATCCGCATTGGGCCTTTCTACTGCAACTAGTCATAGTCAAGTAAAAAGTAAAAACATGATACTCAAGAGACATTTCGGGATCAAAAAGACAGAAGAACAGCTAGAGAAGGGCATGTCACTGTTGCCCTCCATGCAGCTTCCAATGTGGGGTAGCCCCTGGGTTTCGGTCTCCAAGCCCCGTTTTTTGTCTGGGTAAACACTAGAACAGTGTGGAGTCTCATCTCTGTAGTGGCTGCCACTCTCCTCCCTCCAAGCTGCTAGGAGCATCCCTTTTGAAGGCATTAATTGCAAAACTATAACTGTGGCATAGGGTTCAATATAATCAATGGTAAGCACTGCTCCAAGGGACAGGGTCCATTTTCTGGTTCCAATATTGAATCTGATAAAAGACCTGGGCATTAGAGGGAGAAACTGGAAAGAAAGAGAATTTCTTCTTTCTTTTTCCTCCGCAAGATCAAAAAATGCATGTATTAAATCTATCCATATGGGAATCACTCTCTCTTTCTCTCTCACGTCATTTAGACAATTTAAATGCAGCCCCAGCCTTCCAAAGCTTGCAATATAAGACAGATATTTATGTGAATGAGCATATAAAAGACAGACAGACGGTAGAACCAAAACATTGAATTTCCACATAGATAAGCAATATTAAATATTTATACTGGTGGTGTTCAGTCACGTGACTTGGGAGCCACTTTGGCAATCATCATTAACCAACAGAGCCACATGACTGCTGCATGCCCTGCAGAGTCTAGGATAATATATTATAGAAAAACAGAAATTTGAGGGCTTATGAGAGCTGCAGGTTGCCCACAAAAAGGCCCCATGTGGCTTGCAAGTAGGAATCTGAATATCACTGATTTACATTATATGTGTGTCAAGGGCATGTGCATAGTTATTTGATCTTTTTTTAAAAATTAATGAGTACAGTCAGTATTCCTCTGGACCTAGCTCCTGGCCATGGATAGCCACATGTCCAGGTATCTAAGACACAACCTTAGGAATCATCCAGCTCAGATTGCCTGAGAAGAAACACTAACATTCATTTTTCCCCTTGATTCTCTTCTTCCTAGCTGTGTTAAGTGATAGTGCTTTACAGGGCTGAACTGACCCCATGCCACTCAGTGAGGGCAGATACCCTTGTGCAGATCCCAGATATAGCTCCTGTAACTTCCCATAACTCTCAGCTGGTCCTAATCAGAGCCCTGTGCCTCTGGAAAGTTGCCTTCGGGATCAGGTGAGAAAACTGGAGCAAAGATGGAAAACAATCACCTGTTCCTCCCATGGTCCCCTCCCTACCTCACTGTGAATCAGAGAAAACATTCAGCATTTGTTTTTTGGGGGATTGACTAACTTGGGAAGGGAGGGGGCAGGGAGTTAGCAAGGATGGTGGAATGCGATGGACATCATTATCCAAAGTACATGTATATGAAAACACGAATTGGTGTGAACATACTTTATATACAACCAGAGATATGAACAATTGTGTTCTATATGCGTAATAAGAATTGTAATGCATTAAACTGTCATTTATTTTTAAAAAATCAACTAAAAATTAAAAAAAAAAGGAAAGAAAATAACCACCTGAGCTAATTATTAGAAAAGTCAGCTCTCTAGCCCAGGTCTTCTCATTCCCCATTCAGGACTGCCCACCACACTTTGCTGCACCTCAAAGAAGCCTTCTCAGATACCCACAGGCACTCTCCCTTTGTGCTGTACCCTGAAAATGGCGGTGATTAATGAGTGGGGTTAGCTATAACCGGGGTTCTGCTGTGAAACTATTTCATGGATTCTTCTGGTAGTAATTAATACCCATAGGCAGGCTCCTGTGGACTTAATATTTTGTTCCATACCTCACTAGGGGGTCATGCATGACCAGGATCTTGGAGGGTGTTTTTTCATGAGTAGCATCATCTGCTTTGGGAGCACTGTCTAGCTGATGTGCTCTCTGACCCCAGGGAGTGGCAGAAGAGCTACCTGAAAGGTCATGCTGAGTGTGCAGTAAGAAGAAGGCACACCAACCCAGTCTCAGTGGACTGCTATATGTTTTCTAAAGCAAAACCCACCAGCCTTGGGCAAGGCTTCCTAATTTGAAGCTGTCAGGAAACCATGATGATCTTCTCGTTGAATGACAGCTGTATGCTTCTGGAGAAGTGGGAGGTGAAAGCCACACAGCAGTTTGACAGGAGATTTTTATGGCCTGCCTGCCACCAGCATGAGGTTAGAATAACTGTACCTGACTGTTCCGCCAAGTCCTCAGTTAACAAAGGCTCTGTATCCTTTAAGAAGACACCTGCTGGCCTGGGGTTGTGGCTCAGGGGTAGAGTGCTTGCCTAGCACGTGCAAGGTGCTGGGTTCGATTCTCGGCACCACATAAAAATAAAGGTATTGTGTCCAATTACAACTAAAAAAAATATTTTTAAAAAATAAAAAGGAAGACACCTGCTCTCAAGACAGAGGGAAGCTCTGCATCTGTACAGAGCCCAGGGCCACATGATGAGGACCCAGTGAGAAAAGAGAGGCAGTCTGGACACTGATATCAATGCTCACAGGGCTGTGTCTTTAGGGACATGTCCCAAGTCAAAAAATAATCAGCCCAACAAACTCCAGAGGTTTTATTTATGGTGAAGAACATGGTCAACACCAGCTGCCAAAGGTACCAGAAGAAGGATCCTCACACCCTTTTTGGATATCTCACTGTTGTTGTCTAGTGTGTGCAGTGAGCATGGAGCCAGCATGGAGGGGGCTGTGGAGCAGCAGGGTCTAACCTGGTGCTATGCAGATAAAATTGTGGTTTCTGAGGGACACAAGCTGGTTACCAGGGAGCCACCAGGACCTCTGCTGTGGTTTAAGGGGGAGAGTGGGCAGCTGTGTTCCTGGGGTCACTGGCCAGCCAACCACCCATCAGGGGACAGAACAAGCAGGCCGTGGGCTCTTGAAGATCCAAGTGTGGATGCAAGTCCTTGACAGGAAGCAGAGCTTGGAAGGCCTGTCTTCTCCAGGGTCTGGAGGGGCCTTCTGGCCAGGATCTCTGCCCACACCAGCATCTCCCCAGCTCACTTCTCTCTCCAATGGCCTCCCAGTTACCCAGGCTGCAGCTCCTCCTCTGCCTCCCCTGTTCTCTTCCTGCCTCCCGATTCTGTGATGCCCCCATAGTTAACCAACTCCTACAGTCCATCCGTCACCAAGTCTTACCAGTCCGTTTGCCCACTTGAAACGTCCCTCTCATCCATTCCCTCCCCTCCCCTCTACTTCTCTTCCCCTGAGCTGGTAGTTCCCTCACTAGAGCCCTGCCCTCCAGCCACCTCCCACACAACCTGTGGGGTGTAGTCCAATTAATATTTCCAGAGCTGACCACGTGGTTCTTGCTTAGAAACTATGAATGTCTCTCCGTGGCTATAGAATAAAGTTGGAACATGTTCCTTCAGTATCCCAAGCATCTCTGGTCTGTCCCAGCCAATAACTTGGACCGTGTCGCTCACTTCTTCCCTGCAATCAAACCAGCCTGCTTCCTGCTTTGCAAACCTGCCAGCTACTTTCTTGTTTCTGGGCCTTTGTTCATTCTTCCTCCCTCTGTTTGGAACACCCTCTTTCTCCTTGCTTCACCTCACTTGCTTCTCCCACATTCCCAGCCCCTCCCTCTCAGGACAGGCACTACCACAGCCTGGGAGACCTTCTGCCTGCCTGGCCTGTGCGATGGGGATGTCCCAGCCTTCTTGTCATATAGGAAGCTCTTAGGGCAGAGAACATGCTCACTCACTTCTTATTCACTGTTCTAGTCTGTCTCCAGGATGCTGATTTTTATTTAACAGACTTCCCTCCCCACATCATACTGGATTGAAATGAATCCTCTTTGGAGCCAGAAAATTGGGGTTTTATCGCCTTGCATCTGGTTGGCCTTTGTCTCAGCCATACCATCATGCCTCTCAGAGAGGGTGTTGTAGTTGACAGTGTGGGTGGAAATGACTTCAGGTTGAGAAAGTAGGCCTGGAGGAAGGGTGGGAAGGTATTAGAATAATGGATCCCTTAGAAGAGAAAACTGGGTGGTCAATGAAGTAAGGGGAAGAATCTTTCTCATCCCTGCATCTTCTCCTCAAGGAGCCGTCATGGTTTTATAACTTGTGTGGAGTCAGTGTTAGGTTCTGAGGTTCGATGGCAGACACAGAGCAGGCTTCTGTGGGCTCTCAGGCTAGAGGGCAGAAGCAGGATGGGCAGGGGCAAGAGAGGAGAGGCATCTCTTACTTTCAATGGAAGGAGGGAAAGTCATAGGTTATCTTATTTAAACTTTCTCAAGATCATGTCATGTGGGTTCTTCTAGCCCTATTTTGTAAAACTAAGAAAGCTAACTTGTTTATGTTACGCATAAACAGTTGCATTTAGGTAGGCCTAGGCCTCAAGCTCAGTACTTCTAACTCCATATCCCCTCCTGGGACCCCCAAACGCTAAGATTCCTAAGTGACCAGAGGCTCAGAGGTGATTCCCTTGTAGCATTCCACAATCCTGAATTTTCAGAGATAGACTCTATCACATTCCTGGTGGTATACTTGCCATGGCAGGATCTTGGGTGGTCAGGGGCCTGGAACACCCATTCCTGGAGCAATTGGATTCATCAACACACTCCTCTACTCAAACCCAAAAGGAGAGACCATATAATTGATAAATCTCCTTCCAAAAAAAGACAATCTCCTAAACAAATGGCTCTTGAGCTCAGTGAACTTTTTTTTTTTTTTTTTGCCTTGAGCAAGATATCATCACTTCCTTTCTTGCTTCAAACATAGTTCTTTCTTTGGTGCTAAGGATTGAACCCAGCACCTTGCACATTCTAGGCACACCCTGTACCACTGAGCTCCATCCCTGAGCCCCTCATCTTTTATTTAAGTCAGATTCATGCCCCATTATATTATGATTTAAGATGAGTTTTTCCTACTGCCTTCTCCCTTACTCTATTTTCCTCCTTTACTTCATCCATCCTGATTTGCATATTGGACTAAGCAAGGGGCTGATATATGGAGTCCCCGGAGAAGTCTTTGACAAATGAGTCTGCCCATGCCCTCTTTGACTTGCCCAGGGTAGGGACCCAATGAAATGCTGAATTGATTTTAATTTGGTGCTTTTCAAACAGATCCACACACCCGGGGGCTGAAAGTAGCTCAGCAGAGGACTTGAAGGGGAGATGAATCAGCCTAAATTTCCCTTTGATCCATTTTCTCCCATAACCAGTGCTCAGCCCCAAAACAGAGCCACCCACAACACAGTTACCCTTAGCTCCCACCCACCCCACACTCCCTTTCACACAAACACTGGGGGATAAAAAGCCCATGCTACATCAAGATGCACGATCTGTCAGAAGGCCGTTAGCGGAGGAGAGTGACAGCTCCCATCTTTCTCATTGCTTGCTGATGTGGAAAATCGTCATCTGGTAATGTAGAGAAATCAGCCACATACAGTATTTCCATCATCCAGGCACATGGCATGGGAAGCTGATTCAGGATCCATGGAACTCTGGAGTCAGTGGAAAGAGCACAGAAACAGGAATGATTGGCCTCAGAGTAGTAGATAGTGTTTGGAGAACCTCCTGGAATTGTATATATTCCCATCTGTCCCATTTCCTAGAGAAGAACATGGGTACATTCATTCACCATGTATGTAAGTACCAGCCAGGCACACAGAACACTAAGATAAAGAAACACAATCTCTGTCCCAAGGGGATTCACAGCCGAGGTAAGGAAACAGATGCTTGACAAGACACGTTATAACAAAGCATTGAAGATATGAGCAAGGAACTGGAGAGCAGCAGAGGAGAGAGGGCAGGAGGGAGGGACCACCAGCCCAAAGGATGACTCTGGGTGGTGCCATATGGATCAGGATGGGCAACCTGTTTTAATAGGCACCCCCCAAATCAGATCTCGGTCCCTTACTACCCCACAGTTTAATGTCAGTTGGGCATTGGTGGAAGGGAAGCTGAGCTCCACAAAGTCTTCAGGGATCATGGCTGCTTCTCTCTCATGGCTCTATCACCCTGAGCCTCACTGCACCCTCTCCATCCAGCCAGTTAGAAGAGGGAATATGGGGGTGGTGCTGGAGGATTTAGAAACTAGGCCTGGGAGTGTGGGCATCCCTCCTGTTCATACTCGACTGCCCGGGACAGTTACCAGTTCCATCTAACTCCCAGGGAGACTGTGAAACTCAGTGTCCATGAAGCAAGAGGCATTCTAAACTGAAGAATGAAGGGGCTGCATACCAAAGCTGTAGAAGCAACCTAAGTTTAAAAAGAGGAAGAAAAATGGAAATGCACGTGTTCAGAGTAAGTCTGATTCAGGCTCAGAGATAAGCCAAAGTTCAGGTCAGAAGGGAAGATGGACACGGGGTCCCAACGGCCTCAGATTTGGACTTTACACTGTGGATAAATAGATCTACCAAAGAGATTTAAGCAGAGGAAGGGAAGATTCACTGTCAGAAGGGCACTGTGTGGGCTAAGAGTGGACAATGGGTTGGAAGGAGAGAGAAGCTGGAGGCAGGGAACTCAATCTAGAGGATGATAAGACTGAATGAGAGTCCACGGACAAGAAGTGGGTTGGAAAGGTGCCCGACACCCCCTAGGACAGAGTCTCTGAAATGAATAGCTCCTACTTTTTCAGCAGCGATGGCCCCTCTGAAGGACTCAGGAATTCCTGAGAGTTGGTTTGTCCTGTCTGCTTACGGGGGGGTCTGTCCTGGCCCTTTGCCTCTAGCTATTCAAAGGCCTGTTTTCTATCCATGACTACAAACATACTAATACTTACCCTAAAGAATCCCAAATGATTCTACCTCACTTAATCCCTGCTGTCAAGATTAAGTGGCCTTAAAAAAATTGAGAAAAACCTCAAACTTGGGAGTTGATAGCACCATCCTTCAGGATCACATCATCAAAAAGAAATATGCATGCCTCTGGTAAAAGTCTTCATGTCTCCAGAGAAGATTTATGCTCCCATGCAATAGGAAAGATTTTGTCCTCTTAAATAACTATAATACCTGCTATCAGCACAAGACTATTCATCATTGTGACCACTCTCTATTGAAGCCACACAGTTAGAAGGCCTGAAGCCTGGTCAGAAACAGCAAAATCTGCATAAAGGAGTTGCTGCATAAAAGAGGTGGCCCCTTGAGGGATATATGGAATGTTTCAAAACAGAGGGCAAGTGGTTGTGCTAGCAGGAGTGACAGTGGGGAAAGAAGGAGCAGCTGCAGAGAGGAGGACTGGCACATTGACATATGATTATCTCTCTCTACCCTGTGCCAGTCCCTGAATTCCTTCTTCAGCCACATGGATGGCTCCATCACAATTTGAAAATCCCAGATCCTAAACCCCTAGGAGACAAAGGTTTCCCCAGGTCACTGATTCTGTCCCTCAACCTCCAGTCAAACCAGATGGTCTCCATCCATGCCTTACCTGTGTAGGGGCTGTTGTAGCTAAGCTAGGTGTCTGAGGTATTGTGCCAGGGCCCCATCTGCCGTCAGACTGGATTGATCTCCCAGCCGACAATGTTCCAAATTCTGTTTCTCATGGAGATACATGCAGATTGCAATACTGTCCCTGGAAAAATCCGGGGACATGCTCAAAGAAGCATAAAATGGGAGCTTGGCAAGGGCCTCCACAGGAGAATGGGCAGTTTTGCTCATTTCCAAACAAACACCTGACTTGAACCTAAACTTGGATTTCAATTAAAAGGTCAATAATGTGTCCCCTCTTGCTCCTGGTTTGCATTCACTAGCTGGACCCACACCTCTAGTGATGGTCAGAACTGCTCTTTCTAAAGGAAAAGATGAGCAGGAAAAAACATGAGAGACCCTGAGTCTCAAAATCCCATTCATGAATGAATGGTCTCTACCGAGGTCATCATGAACAGAGCCAAAGAGCAGGGTGTCCTATTCTACAGGGTATCTCCAGATCCCTAAGAGAAGAAAAAAGTGACAGCCTTTTACTCAATCCTAAAAGTGTACATACATTGTAACTTAATTTCTATTAATTCTTCTAGACTTCTAAGAATTAGGCTTACATTATATTCATTCATCAGACTGACCAAGAATCTTCCCATCAAAAATCTTCAGAAGTCATCTGCTAGACAGATAAGTTTTGATAACAGAAATCTAAAGGTTTGTCCCCCTACCCCCCCTAACATATATATTTGAATTCTGTAAGGTTCTTCATAGTTTTGCCTTATTTTACCAAGAAAGTAAGAACATTATGACATTTTTTAGTATTCTTAAGCGTCTAGACAGATGAGCTCTGGCTGCTCCCTAAGTCATGCTCTAAAAATTATTTATCAAGCCTAAGGTGGTTTTGACCCACAAGCCCTAGGTCTTATTCTGAGGACTTTCATGTGCAGGAATGCAGCACAACAAGATCAGAGTCAAGTGCAAACAAAAACACAGGCCAAAACCATTGAATTCTTGTTGTTGCACTGGGCCTGGCCTGTGCCTTTTACTTGGGAGTGAGAGAATAGATCTGTCCTCCATGACTCGCTGACCAGGTAAAGAGCCTTAATTATATGCTTGGCAATCTGGCTTTCAGGGGACAAGCCTTTGTTTACCTTCTCGTTTCGAAGCTTCAAAGCAGTTGGTCCATCCATTATCTCCTGCTGATAACTTGAGAGATGATAACGGTATCTAATGTCAGACCAGTTATTATGTTAACAGAATCCCAACAAACACAGAATACACCCATACACAGACATGCACTCCCCCTGTACATACACCAAACACAGGGGCAAGGAGAAACGAAGGGCCTCTTTCATGTCAGAAATGTTCAGAGTTAGAGTCTTGTATTTATTAGTATCTGCTAAAGTCAACTGGGTCTGGCTAGAGTGGAAGATTGGTGTAGAATTTGCTCTGCTCAAAAGAGGCAGGAAAAACAGACACCTGCAACCCCCTGACGGAGGGCATCTGCTTGGCATGAAAAGTGGAGTCAGTGGTAGAAGGTCCTACCCTGTTTGACCCACGACTCCTTCTGCCCCTCTGCATTGACAAGAAAGTTAAGAGGTCGGTTGCCAAAAATCAGGCATAGACCCAAGTTTTCCATCAAAAAGATGTCAAGCTTTAACAAAAACTATAGAGCTTCTTTTTTAAATTAATTATTCTAAAGATATATATTACAGTAGAGTGTATTTCGGTATATTATGCATGCATAGAGTATAACTTCCTATTTTGTGGTTGTACATGATATGGGGTTTCACTGGTCATGTATTCATATACGAGCATAGGAAATTTATGTCCAGTTCATTCTCCTGTCGTTCCTATTCCAATCTCCCACTTCCCTTCATTCCCCTTTGTCTACTCCTCTAAACTTCTATTCTTCCCTCCCCCCCCTTACTGTGTGTTAGCTTCTGCATATCAGTTCAGCCTTTGGTTTTTGGGGATTGGCTTATTTCACTTAGTATAATAGTCTCCAGATCCATCCATTTACCAGCAAAACTAAAGCCATTCTTTTTTATGACTGAATAATAGTGCATTATGTATGTATACCCATTTTCTTAATCCATACATCTGTTTCTTAAACCTGGTAGAAGGAATAAAATCATTTCTCTTAACTATAATTTCCATAATTCCTTAGTTGTCTTTTAATCCATTAAGTCATACCCCTTGATGGAATGAGCTGAGAGTACAGAAATGTGAGGTGAAAGACCCTCATCTCTATCTCCTAATAAGATGCTAGGGCTTGGGGTTTGAGCAGCCCTCCTGGGTTGCAGTGGAACTAATAGAAGTCTGAGAAACCCAGGCAGCCGACCTTCCAGGCTCCACTCAGTGACCAGTCTGCAGTTTGCCTCTCCCAGTTTCCCTGTTTGTGGAATAAAGATGTCATATCAGACAACTGAAAAATCCTTCCAGCTCTGGGTTTTGTTTCTGCAGCTCTAAATTTATATACACTAGCTTTATCCCTAGGAGTCTGGATCAAGCCTGGATCATTCTAGTCTATCAGACCCGAGAAATTCAACCGATTCTATTATCCTGACATCCCCAGACTCTTGGAATTGTACTGGGTCTCAAGCAGGATGACCTGCATCCTGAAAGCCAGCTTGTTTTTCCAAAGATCATGTGCACACCTATGCATACACTGATCTCTCTGCACGGAAAGCCCAACCCTACCATCTGCCTTATGAACTGCTGCCCGCCTTCCAAACTCACCCTGGGCACCCCTCATCTTCTGCCTTCTCTACTCCTCCTGCCCAGCAGTGTTTCATTCCTTCGTTAGTCCTCCCAGAACACCTATCCAATACCTGCAAACGAACACGTATTGCAGTGACCTATTGTATCTATTTATTGATTTATCTCATACCATCTGCTGTGTTGTGTAGGGATTTTTGTTTTCCCAGCACCAACCCAGAGCCTGGTGCATAGGCAGTTAGCGAACACTGGTTGCAAAAGGGGTGGGAAATTGGAAGATAAGAATGAGGTCTTGGCTTGGAAGCCCTCAGAATCTCAATGCTGGGAACAGATGACTTGGGCCTGCCTTGTCACTGTGTTAGATCTAAAACCAGATTGGGCCAGTTCTGGCCCAGCAGAGGCTATCTAATGAAGCAGACCTGCAAATTAAATTTCCACCTTCTATTCCTTGTCAAGGTTTCTTTTCACTTCTAGGGTGGGACGGGACTCTTCAACCGTGTTTTTCTTTGTGCACTCTTCTCTACTCCCCTTTCTTCAAATATGATTGGGGAAGTGTTGGAAATGCTCTTCATTTTGTTCTATCTCACGAAGGCCAGCTAGCCAGCTAAGAAGAGCTGTCAGGAAACGGTTAAGAGAGTACCAAGAATAAATTCCTAGTTGGTTCTTTAGGACTGGAAAGCTGAATACATTTAAACCTTGAAAAGGTCAGTTCCCTTCAAAGGGGCCAGAGGTTTGATTTCATCCATTATGTGGTCTTCGCATAGTGCTCATTTCATTCACTGGCTGCGATGGAGACTTATGGAGTAAATGTTATCACAAGCTGAGACTTAATGAGATCTCAACTGTATCTCCTGGATGTAGTGGAAAGCAACCATTTTGTAATAAATAGAGAACAGCATCTAATTTGTAAATTCCTCTTTCCGTTGCTAAGTTTAATCAGATCAGTGAAACTGAAGGGAATTGTTGATAACCAAAAATTATTTTCCATGTCTTAATCTGGCCAGGAAATATTACTCCTAATGGAAATGGCATGTTGCTCTGGCAGTGGTCCGGGATGACATTTGTCATTAGACTAACCCAATTGTTGCATATTGAAAAATATGTTTAGACCATAATCTATTAAAAACCACACTGGAACTGAGGCCTCATATTACTTTGTTATTGGTGTCCCTTGTTCATAGAAGCAAAAACTTTCCAGTTAAAATATGCAGCCGTGGCCAGCCTATGTTTCAGCTTGACCCCAGTGAATCATCAAAGCAAGGCCAGGTGGGCCACCACGGAGCACAGATTATGGTCATAAATAACTTTTGCTGACATGGCAGAGGGCTGATTAAGAGAACCCACACTATCCCTGGGGGTCCTTGGTTTAGGTTAAGGTTAAAAGAAGAATTCAAGAGGCACAATAGGGAGGTTAATGCAGCTGTTTTTTTTTTTTTTTCTGGTTCTGCTACATATTTTTTCATGATCAACCAAAGTGAAAGATTTTTACAAATTGTCTTCTCACAAGCTATTAAAGCATTTCCAGGACAAGGACTATGTCATGGGTAAGTTGCTGTTAGCACATAGTAGGGACAGCGTGAATAGTTCACTTTGAGAAAGCCAACAGTGATGAACACATCTGGGAAGCCAGTGGCCCCAAAGGGAACATCACTAACTGTGGCATCATTAGAGGTTGGCCCTGAGACACATTTGTCATCACCAACAAGTTTCCAGACTCCCACTGACCTTTGAGATACAAAGCAGGTGATCCTGAGCTGCTCCTCTTTGACCCACATTTTGCTTTTCTATTGTCCAATAAATATACCGTGTCCAGGCATTGCACACACATGCACGCACACACACACACATGCATGCACACACACATATGCATGCACACATACACACTGAGCATTGTTGTTGAAGATTATGCACAACAGCAACAATTAATTAAGCACCTCATTTTAGGAATACTATCTTTACTCCTCACTTAACCTTCTCAGATTGGTACCATTATTTCCATCTTTAGATTAGAATAGCACAGCACAGTGACTCCCAACATCAAGTCTATCCACAAGACACTAATTTTAAAAAACCTATAAATAAATTGCAGAAAGATCAGTAGAGAGAGGGGTAAAGGGGGAGGGAGGGAGAAGGAGAAGTGCTCAGGACTCAATTAGAGCAAATTATATTCCACGCTTTTGTGATTATGTTAAAATGTATCTTCATGTTATGTATAACTAGAAAGAATCCATAAAAAAAGAAGGAAGAAAGAAAGAAAGGTAAGGTTTAGGTCATTTACCCAAGGCCAGATGACTAATAGAGGCTCCCACAAGCTCGCATGCAGGCACACCAAGTCTGCCTCCAGAATCTACTCTCAGTCTCTTTTCGGGTGGGA